GTGTATCAGAGAACGGAAGATCTTTGCATCTCCTTTTCTCTGTGTATCTGCCTTTCCAATAAAAAATAAATAAATCTTAAGAGAGAGCGACAGAGAGAGAAAGAGAGAGAGAGAGAGAGAGAGAGGTACCAAGTCAGAGTAGAACAGGATTGGAGCTATAACACCCTTTAGCTATTCTACTTAGCTTTATTGGAAAAAACAGAACCAGTTGATGAGGTAAGGATGAGGTTTCTGAATCTGAGTTTCTCAAGGATGAAAGGACAGAGAAACTTTGGGGACAGACACCTAGCTGCTGGAGTAAAGGATAGCAAGGAATGGTAGGGAAATATCAATTTATCTGACCCAGACATCAATTTCAATTCTGAATAAACTAGGAAGGGAAAAAGGAAGGTACTGCTAAGTTCTTGCTTTTGAAGGTAGTTTACAGTGAGAATAATGTTACTTGAGAACAATGTTTCCAAGAAGCAGCACTTACAAATACTTCAGGACAGTGCTAGAGTCATGAAAATGTGATACCAGTTTCTTATAGCAAAATCTATCAAACGACAAGTCTCCTCAAACTAGCTCCGTTTCATTTAAACCATTCTTAAATGATTCTTAAAATTTCTTGTCTAAAAGAAAGTAATTTCTGAAAGTTTCCACTGTTTTACTGACAAAGCGATTCACTCTATACCAATCTGATATGGAAGAAATGGGTTTTTTTTATGGATTAAAACTGCATCCTCAAGTCTTTCTGGTTACGTGTGTGCTATTAGATTTATGATCTTTTAATAAATCTTTGAAGATAATTTCTCATCTAATGATTACAGGTTCTTATGATAGTGGCGGTCCATGATAATTGCTTTACAACACAGGTATAGCTATGATTAATCCACTATAGTCTTAGAAATACAGCACCAATTCTTAGTCTTCTCCAGTAAGGGTTAGGAAAGGCTTACTACCTGTGCCTTCAACTCCTATCTTGAGTCGTGCCAATATTTGGAAAACAAGCACAGCTCAATTAACCTATACTTTCCAACTGACCAATGCGTCTGTTCAAATTAGAAGAAAGAATAATGGGTTTTAATGTAACTCATTACAGAAAGTTGACTGATAAGTTTTGTGTTCCATTTTGTACCTGATCTTTAAGAAACATTACTTGTTAAGTTTTAGTGTACCATCAAAAACTATCTGCAAGGCTAATAAAATACTTCTCCAATTTGTAACCAGTGTAAGCCAATGTGTTAGGCTCTATTTTCTTTATATTTATTAACTACAAAACAAGGATTTAAAAAAGGAATGTAGAAGTAGCTATTAGGACCCAGATGTCCCATATTAAGCTATATATTAAAGAAAATTGCAAATGTGCAAAATGATGCCCCGACTTTCAGTTTGAAAATTAGAGATATTTTTCATTAAGTCTATAACACATAATTAGGATTATTATTTAAATGAGCCAAAAAATACTTTTAAAATCTCCTCAAATTTAATTTCTAATGTAGTAGACATCAACAGACAAATCCACATAAAATAAAAGCTTTAGGAGAGAAGAGTCCTATTTTTTTATGGGTGTAAAAGTGTCTTAAGATGGGACATGTGGTGGCATAACACACTATCCCTCTGTCTGCTATGTTGGTTCTTGTCACAACTGCTCCACTTACAGCCTGGGAAAGCAGTGGGAGGTGGCCCAAGACCTTTGGCCTCTATAGTCACACAGAAGACCATGAAGAAGTTCCTGGTTCCCAGTTTTGGACCTGTCCAGCTCTGCTCATTGAAGCTATTTGGGGGCCCGGCAGCGTGGCCTACCGGCTAAAGTCCTCCCCTTGAACGCGCCAGGATCCCATATGGGCGCCAGTTCTAATCCCGGCAGCTCCACTTCCCATCCAGCTCCCTGCTTGTGACCTGGGAAAGCAGTCGAGGACAGCCCAAAGCTTTGGGACCCTGCACCTGCGTGGGAGACCCGGAAGAAGTTCCCGGCTCCTGGCTTCAGATTGGCATAGCATCTGCCGTTGCGGCTCACTTGGGGAGTGAATCATCGGACGGAAGATATTCCTCTCTGTCTCTCTTCCTCTCTGTATATCTGACTTTCCAATAAATAAATAAATCTTCAAAAAAAAAGAAGCTATTTGGGGAGTGAACCAGCAGATGGAAGATCTGTCTCTTCTTCTCATATATATATAGATAGATAGATAATCTTTATATATAATATATAAATAATATATAAGATATATATACCTTTTATATATAAAATATATATATAGATTTTTAAAAACTGAACAAGGTACAAAAACAAAAGCTAAATTTCATAAGCTAAGGCATCTTTCAAATGCCTGCATCCTACCCAGTTTTGAATACACACCCTTGGAGGCAGCATACAATGGCTCCACTATGTGCCCACCCTGGCTGTTCTCAGCAGTTAGGGAGCTAAGCAGCAGACGGGAGAACTGTCACTGTATCCTGATCTCTACCACTAGCCTGCCTTTCAAATAAAATATTTTTTTTCAAAAAGATTAGACTGATTACTGAGATTATGACAGAGAATATTTTAATTGGGTAAAAACTAAAGGTTTTAGGAAGTGTAAAAAGGTAAGCTAAGGAATTGATCATAATTATCCACCAACAGTTTGCAGTATCTTCCACACTGAAAAAGAGCAAGTATGGCTTGACAACTCACGTGAAAGTAGGGTTAAAGAGATGAGGGTTCATAATATTAAACTGATTCCAACAGTTTCAATCACAAATGCAATGAAATCAATGCAATTGAACAAAGTGCAGTTTATAAATTCCTAAAGCATGGCAGTAAACATGTAACAATAGTTCATAATTCCTTTTGAAAGTAATTTTTACAACAAAGATAAGCCCTGAAACATTTGTAGGAGGAGCGATCAAAAGCAACTTTCTAATTCAAAAAGAATTGATACGCTTTAGAAATCCAAGATAACCTAGTAAATAGAAAGACGTATTACATTCAAGAATTGGAAAATAATATGATAAATACATCAGTTCTCTACAATTGACCTACGTGCATGAAATTCTCATCAATTGGAAGAAAGGCATTTATAAACCATCTTATTTCAAAATTTATATGGAAAGGCAAAGGACCTAGAGTAGCTAAAATGCTAACACCTGCATTACCTTACAGGAATCATTCTATACAATGTTAAAGCTCACTAAGTAGGCTAAAACCAAAACACAGCAAAAAGCTACAATTCTGAGCTCACACATTTATTGCAACTTTTATTTCTTTTATTCCACACCCCCTGCCCCCCCAAACCTGCCAAATCCTTTCATGCCATGCTCAGTGTTGTGGGACAGAGGGTTAAATCACTTGCAATGCCAGGTTCCCATATCACACTGTTGGTTACAGTCGCAGCTTCTATGCTTCCAATCCAGCTCCCTGCTAATATGCCTTAAAGAACAGCACAAGATGACACGAGAGCTTGGGCTCTTAATACCCATGTGGACAACTCAGATGGAATTACTGTGTAATTACAGGTTCATGGTTTCAGCCTAGCCAGCCTTAGCCTTTGTGGCCATTTGCAGAGCGAACCAGGGAATGGAAGATTTCTACCACCCTCTCTGTGTCACTCTGCCTTTCAAATAGACAAAATGTCTATAAGATGGTAAAATAGAGCCTGATGTAATAGCCTAGTGGCTAAAGTCCTAGTCTTGCATGCACCTGGATTCCATATGGGCACCAGTTTGTATCCCAGCTGCTCCACTTCCCTTCCAGCTCCCTGCTTGTGGCATGGGAAAGTAAGTTGAGGACAGACTAAATCCTTGAGACCCCGCAACCCATGTGGGAGACCCAGAAGAAGCTCCTGGTTCCTGGCTAATAATCAGCTCGACTCTGGCCATTATGGCTACTTGGGAGTGAACCAGTGGATGGAGGATCTTTCTCTCTGTCTCTCCTTCTCTCTGTAAATCCAACTTTCTAATAAAAAATAGATACAATAAAAAAGATAGTGAAATGCAGTATCTAGGTATATGGATGTGTGCATCTGCACGGTGATTTCGTGTTCTCTCTTTTACATACACACACAAACACAGAGAGAGTCATATACCATATCTATAAACTGGCAGAGCCAAGTCCTGCCTCGTCTGTCATTTCTTGCTAAGGGACACCCTGGACACCAGCAGATGATGGCATCTAACACAAGTTCCTTATGTTTACTTTTCCTATTTAGAAAAGAAATATTTTTAAAATGTCTACTCTATTCTCAGTCAGTTACTCAATATTATCCCATCCAGCCTCATATAAGATTTTATCTGAGGAATACGGGCATACCCTGCCTCCAAAGAGGTATGATAATTAGTCTTTCACACATTGTACAAAGAAATAAAACTTGAAAGCCTTGCTTGTGTGGCCTTTCTTACACAATGGCCTGAAAACTTTACTTTTATAAACTAGGACTATCACAGCATCATTTTCAACTTTAGAGAAATGAACATTAAAAAATAAGAATATTGAGGCCAGCATGATGGCTCAATTGGCTAATCCTCCACCTCCAAGTGCAGCATCCCATATGGGCACCAGTTCATATCCCGGCTGCTCCATTTTCCATCTAGCTCCCTGCTTGTGGCCAGGGAAAGCAGTTAAGGATGGCCCAAAGCCTTGGGCTCCTACACCCACACGGGAGACCAGGAAGAAGTTCCACTCAGTTCTGGCTCCTGTAGCCATTTGGGGAGTGAACCAGTGGCTGGAAGATTTTTCTCTGCCTGTCTTTTTCTTTGTAAATTTTTCTAATCAAAATAAATATTTTTAAAAAATAGAATACTTTCCCCAAATGACTAAGATCGACTAAATTAATTACTAATCCATCAACTTGTAACTTCAAAACATTCTTTCCCATCTTGCTCTTAAAAACATACTCTGAAATTTTCCTTAATCTCTTAGAAAGATAACACTAATTTTCATTTCTAAGCAAATGCCAAACTTCATCCAGCAACTTAAACAAAGTATACCACATTTCCAGCAAGAAACAACCCTACAGCACAAGCAGAAACTGTAGAAATCTTACCTTAATTCTTCTCTCAGTGTCATCTAACTTTAACTCTGCCGAAACTAGTTTCTTTGCCAAATCATCTCGTTCAGGTAGGTGTCTAGCTTCAGAGATCTTTTTCAGTTTCTCTAACGAAAATTTTGTCCTAACTAGCTCACCTTCTGTATCTTTCACTCTTTTCTCAGTGGCCCGCTCTTTCTCCTGAGACTTTCTTAAGCGTTCTTTCAATGATGTAATCTCATTGTTATGACGAATAATAAGCTGTGAGATTTGATTTTCTGTATCTTCAAACTTATTCAGGGCTTTCTCTTGTCTATACTGAAGCCTTTTCAAAGTCTTATTTTCTTTCAGCAGATCGGCCAACTTGACCTGAAGTTCAGTTACTTCATTCTGTAACTCATTGATTTTTAGCAGTCTGGCAGAAAGCACCCGTTTTGTAACAAGGTCAGGATCCTTCCGAACTGGCTCTCTGTTGAGGCTTTGGGAGCGAAATCCGACTCGGGCTCCCTTTCTGTTTGGTAGACCCTTAGGGCTTGGTTTTTTAGGGGCTAAAAAAAGAAACAGCAGTAGTGTAAAAGCTGTACAAAATATGGTATTGTTTATTTATGCCAATCAAGAGGGCCTACAACATTCTTTACTGATTTCTTCATGGAAAGTACGTATATTTTTTTACACCTTAATCTAATAAAGCTTTATAAAAGGGATTATTTCCTAGAAAGCGATTTTGAAGGAGAAAAGATTTAGAATTCTACCTCTATAAATGTTTGAATGCATGAAAAAATAGCAATAAAAGGAAACAAGGGAATATCTAATTGGCTCTTTAAAGTTATACTGACCACATAGGGCTACGTAAAATTTGGAATGTGCATAGTCTAAATTTAGGTAGGTTTTTTTTTAAGATTTCTTTTTTTTTTTAAAGATTTATTCATTTTATTACAAAGTCAGATATACAGAGAGGAGGAGAGACAGACAGAAAGATCTTCCATCGATGATTCACTCCCCAAGTGAGCCGCAACGGCTGGTGCTGCGCCGATCAGAAGCTGGGAACCAGGAACCACTTCCAGGTCTCCCACGCAGGTGCAAGGTCCCAGGGCTTTGAGCCGTCCTTGACTGCTTTCCCAGGCCACAAGCAGGAAGCTGGATGAGAAGTGGAGCTGCCGGGATTAGAACCGGTGCCCATATGGGATCCTGGCATGTTCAAGGGGAGGACTTTAGCCGGTAGGCCACACCGCAGGGCCCTAGATAGGTTTTGTAACTAGGGAAATACAAACTAGATTTTGAACATCCAGTTTAAAATAAAGTGTATGGAAGGATACATTAAGCTATTTAGTCCAGTGCTTAAGACACCAGTTAAGATATTCACATAGGTGATCCTGGCTCCTGACTGGAACATCCTGCTAATAACAGACCTTGGGAAGCAGAAGTGATGGCTCAAGTAATGGGGATCCTCTATCCCAAATAGGAGGCCTAAATTAAATACCAGCTCCCAACTTGGTCTCTGCCTGGGACCACTGCAGGCATCTGAGAAGTGAACCACCAACTATCTAGTTCTTTTTCTCTCCCACTCAAATAAAAATTTTTAAAACTGCAAAATATTGGGCCTTCTGCAATAGCTTAGTGTTTAAAGTCCTCGCCTTACAGGATCCCATATGGATGCCAGTTCTGGTCCTGGCAGCCCCATTTCCCAACCAGCTCCCTGCTAGTGGCCTAGAAAAGCAGTAAAGGACAGCCCAAGGTCTGGGGACCTTTCACCCATGAAGGAGACCAGGAAGAAGCTCCTGGCTCCGGCTGCTGCAGTCACTTGGGGAATGAATCAACAGGCAGAAGATCTTCCTCTCTGTATTATCTGACTTTTCAATAAAAATAAATAAATCTTTAAAAAAATCTGCAAATTATTTTATCAAATGTATGTACAAATAATACACATGGTCTTCAAAAAATTCATGGGAATAGATTTGGAAACAGATTTCAAAAATTTTTGCATCAAAATATTTAATTTTTGACTCTTTCCATAAAATCTGCAATAGACTTATATTTGAATATGTTGGATTAAAAAGGTTAAATAAAATATATTATTATAACCAGTTTCACCTGTTTTGTAATATGATTGGAAAAGATAAAATCACATTTGTAGCTTACATATGTGACTTGCATTATATTTCCACTGCCCACAATTTCTTTGAGATGTAATTTTAAATTTGGAATGTTTATTATCTGAACTTTTGTTCCTCAATATTGAATTAATACAATTTTGTTATCTAAATCTACTTTAGAATATATACTGTTCTTAAAATGAAAGAAACTTTACATATAAAAATAACATATAAAGGTCTCAATTGTTCCAAATCTCTAATTTTTATGTGTAAAAATAAGGCTCCATGCAAATTCTCAATTGTTTTTGAAACTCAAAGCCTAAATAAGAATCAGGATAAAATTTTTGCTAATACTTTATTTCAATTATTGCATGAGATATAAATGGGCTTTTGTATCCAAATTTTTCACATATTAAAATCTTCAGATTTATTTTTAGCATATTCTTAGTTTGACTATAAAACAAATCAGTAACTGAACTGAAAAATATTTCCCAACCTTGTTATATTTTGTTTTTAAATAGTTTTTTTAAACTATTTAGATAAAGATAATGTTAACTGTATAAGAAGATTTAAGCTTATTAGGCACTATGGATAATATTTTTAATCTCTGTAACACCTAAAATATGAAACTATATAAAATAAACTGTATTTAACATGAAAATCAAGGTACAGTTAGGTTACTGGTAAAATAAGAAATGGAGTAAGAGTCAAACACATGCAACCAAAATTGTCATTAAATTTATCATTATTTATGTACGTTCTGACAGAATACTTATTTTTTAAAAAGCTGAAAATTCAATACAGGATAAGAATATGCCATCAAACACACAAATTCACAAATTTGAGTGTTTAAGAAGTTACTTTACTCATATTGCTTTTTCTTTGCTTTAGGCTATAGTGCAAGTTATACCTAGAGAGAGGTATCCATTCTTTCCTGTTCTTTGGTCTAAAAAACGTAGACAAATTATCACAGATTTTAATTTAAAAGACAGTATTAGGCTGGAAACAGTGCTAGCTAGTGTAGAGACAACAGAATTTTCAGGTTGGTGATGAACATATTTTTCACAATTTCCCAATGATCTTCTCAAATAAGGTAAGGTTTAAAAGTCTCACACTTTAACTGAGTGGCCTCTTAAATTGCTTCCAGCCAAGAAAGGAAAAACTTAAAAGTGTTCCTCATCAATAATATTCAATGATTTCTTAGAACCAATATGCATTTTCTAGGATTTAATACAAAAATATATTCACCTGTCCTTAATTATTCAGCAAGATTAATGACAGGGACTGGCATTGTGGTTCAAAAGGCCAATCCTCTGTCCTGTGGTGCTGGCATCCCATATGTGCACCAGTTTGTGTCCCAGCTGGTTCATTTCCAACACCACTCTCTGCCTATGGACTGGGAAGGCAGCAGAAGATGGCACTGCATCCATGTGAGAGACCCCGAAGAGGCTCCCAGTTTCTCAGCTCTGACCATTGCAGCCATTTAGGGAGTGAACCAGCAGATAGAAGACCTTATCTCTCTGCCTCTCCTCTCTGTAAATATGTCTTTCAAATAAAAATCGTAGTTTCAATGACTGACAATTCCCCAAACTCAGTAGACTGTATTAACAGAGGATGCGAAGTTTTATTATACAGAATCAATCATGATGCAGGTCCTGTTTTCTTTTCAGCTTCCAGTTTTATAATGTCATTGCAATCTAAGCAGTCTCTGACTGCTTTACGTGAGTGATATTATAACTGTGCTGTATTTACTAACACATACTCTAATTACCTCATTTATCCTATTTTTGTGTACTATTCTTCACATTTTACTACAAGGTACAATGGGATTTTCTTAACCATAGATTCACTGAGGGAAGAAAAGATTTGCAGAGTACCACATAGTCAAATACAGATCAACACCTAGTTCCAGATGACAACACTTTGATAACAAGAAGTATTTCTAATGATTAACCCAGTTTAATTGCTGCAACAAATCTTTAATAAAAACAAATTGGAGTGGTGGTTCCAAGCAATAATTTCCATTGCTGCGTTCAATCCTAACTTTGCTGTGTGCATTTTCTTACCTAGGATAAATAATTTTACTTAATGTATTTTTAAAAACTCCCCTAAAGCACTTTATATCAATGACTTTTAGTACTGTTTTAAAAAAACAAAGGTACAGAAAAGTACAAATGTTTTCCATGAATTTTACGTTTACAGTACCTTACACACATTAACGCAAGCATTTAGGAAGAAGAGAAAGAAAATGAAGCCTTAACTGTTGCCTTTTCTATATATTGTATGATTGAATGCAGCAACTATCATAAGCAGTGTATTTTTATTTAAGCACTTTTCATTAAACATTCAAAGCAGTTCTGTCTACTGAACTTGTGGAAAGAACACTTACCTTGCTGATGCACTTGGCTATTCGAAATTTGCTTTTTAAGACTTTCCTCCCTAATACTTGCCGGCGAAGAAACACTAACTGATGATGACCTGCCAGAAGACTGTGGTGTAGCTCCAAATTCAGATGAATAATAAGAGTAATGGGGTTTGCCTGCCTTTGTTTCTTGATCAGTATCAGGACTTTCTGCTTTTTCCTCCATTCTTTTCAAAAATGGTCTCTATTCACATATCACAGTTTCCTGAAAATAATAAAGGGCATTTTCATAGTCGTCTCTAGGATATACTAATAGTCTGCAATTCCACTAACAACCAAAAGACAAGCTTTATTCCTTATAACTAAAGAAGGGGAAAGGAGAGTCAGCATGTAGTATGGAATTAGCTCTGTATCATTTATAATTAAAAATACCAAGAGTAAAAAAACACACAGCTTTAAAAAAAAAAAAAAAGATTTATCTTTTTACTTTCATTTTTCTGGAAGTAAGGGAGACAGAGACAGAGACCCGCCTTCCGCTATATCACTCCCTAAATGCCTCCAAAGCTGAGGCTGGACCAGGCTGAGCCAGGAGCCGAAGTCAGTGAAGGTCTCCCACAATGATGACCAGGGCCTTCCATGGTATGCCTTAGCAGGAAGCTAAAATCAAAATCGTATCCAAGACTTAAACCCAGCTCTGATAGATTATACCCAGGAAAATCTTAACCACTGTGCCAAATGCTTGTGGCTAGCTTGCAATATTAGAAAGAGGTTAAACTCAATTTATTTCACACATAAATTATTTATGGTATATGGAGAAAAAAAAGATACATAGCCTAGATAACATGCAAACTACCTGAAATGCAATTGTTTTTATTTAACTGTCTGAAAGCAAAACTCAATGCTGATTTTAACAGAGCAATAATGATAAAACTGTCACAAAATTGTCAGTTTTTTTTTTTAGTTTTTTTTCCCCCCCTGGAGGGAGTGGGGGGGGGAGGGGACAAGTGGTAGTGGTGATAAAGAAAAACCCTGCTAAGCATGGAGCCAGTGGAATGGCTAATCCACCTACAAGCACTGGCATCACAATAGGGCATTGGTTTTTGCCCCAGCTGCTCCACTCCCAAACCAGCTCCCTGCTTATAGCCTGAAACAGCAGCAGATGATGATCCAAAACCTTGGTACCTTGGACCCACGTGGGAGACCCAGAAGAAACTCCTGACTCCTGGTTTCAAATCTGTGTTGCATTCATTTGGGGACTAAACTGCAGATGCAAGATCTTTTCCTTTGTCTCTCCTTTGTGTAAATCTGTCTTTCAAATAAAAAATAAATAAAACCTTTTTTAAAAAAGAAACTAGTTCTAGGGGCCAGAGTTGTGGCTTAGCAGACTGTCAAAGCTCTCAATTGCAATGCTGGCATGTCATATCTGCACTGGTTCATACCCTGGCTGTTCTACTTCTGACCCTTAGTAATACTTTAAACCCTTATTACTGCTTCAAACTCTTTGAGTGGCCTATTCTATATCAATAACAACAGATGAGAACTGCCTTGTCTCAAGCCATTACTTACACCTGTCTCTATTCCATAACTTTGCACCGGAGCCTTACTAAGACTCAAAAAGCATTTCCAATCCTTTTTAAAGCAAAGCCTTTCCCCTGCTTTCTTTCCCATACTCTGCTCTGTAAGTCAGAGAGGGTGCTCCTACAATTGTCACCCCGCTTGCTACCAGATCATTCCTTTCAATAAAGAGTCTCTCATGAGACTGACACTTGATTCCATGCATACTGTACCCACAACACAATTTCTCTACACAGATTTTTCAATTTAAAAAAAAATGAATAATCTGGCACCTGCAATGTTACTGCCACATCTGTTCCACCCTTTTCATGTGAACCAGCACTCTTTACCTGTTCATTCAGAGCACACCACTGAAAGCTTTTTTCAAGATCACCGAAGATGTGTATCTTCCTAAATCTGGTCATCAATTTCCTATCCCATTCCTGTTTGACCTCACAGCAGTGCTCAAGACCTAAGCATTCTTTCTTCATTGCCACAGCTATGTGCTTTTTTGGTTTTCTTACTAACTTCCTGGCTCTCAAGTCCCAGTCTCCTTTCAGAAACCTACTTCCTCTTCCTGGGTTCTGCATGTCAGGACACAGAAGGCAAGTGATGCTGGTCCTTTCTGTCCTGACCTGCACTATCTCCTTAGGTGATTTGATACATGCCTCTCATATTCTGCTCTCCAGATCCACCTCCTCCTCCCTATTCAAAGTCCATTCATATACCTAGAAATCATTTCAGACTTACATGTCCAAAACCAAATTATCAGCTGTTCCCTATCCACGGCCATTGCTTCTTATCTTTCTAATTTCATTAAATGTGCCTCCATCTGCTACATGTCTCAGGTCACAAACTTAAGGATGATCCTAACTTTCTTATTCCTTCACATCCCAAAGTCAAATCATCTGTAAAACCTAACTAGTTTAATCTTCAAAATATATCCTAAATCTAACCATTTAACACCATCTCCATTGCTACTGCCCTAAGCCAAGCCACTACCTGTTTTCATTCAGACATCCCTAACAGCCTCCTAATGGGTACCCTGCTTTCATTCTTGCTTGCTTCACCCAGACATAAAAAAAGACAACTCAAAAGAAAGATCAGATAGCATTACTTCCCTGCATAACACACTACAAATGGTGTTCAGATTCCTTATGACCTGCAGAAGTGTTCAAGACCTAACCTAACCCTTCACTCTACTTCTCTATCCTTATTCTTATGCCACTCTTCAGGAAAGCTAGGGTATCCGTGTCCCCGAAAGTACAGCTTTTGTATTTGCTGCCCCCCTACCTAGAACTTCACAAAGATGACTCCGTCCCTTCTGCCCACTCTCAACATAGACATCATCTCAAAAATGCTCCAACAATACTTAAAAATGAGCTCAGTCGCTATATGGTCACATTTTATTTTCATGGACCTCAGAAGCATTCTTATATTTAATGTTTTATTATTCCTACTAAATGTAAGACCCATGAGAATCGAAATCTTGTTTACCTAATGCAACATTACCACATTATTCATGAATGAGTCAAGGAATAAATGATTATTCTGATGAAAATTTGCCTCTCTGTTTTTTCAAAATAATCGCATGAGGCACAGTTAAATCTCTAAAATTCCAAAAGGGAAAAATCAGCAAGCGAAAAAGTTTCACTCAGAGTCACTGCCATCATAAAATTGGAATACTTTTCCTGAACTAACAATAAATCGAATGAATAAAGCTTCAGAGAAAATAAATTTCACCTAATGCCATACAAGTGCGTTCCACTTGACTAATACAAGTTAATCATAAGATTACGTAAACACAATTGTTCATTCTCTGAGCTACACCAACATTTAGAAAGACACAATTTTTATTCCATGTATAAATTCAATGGCTTAAATTAATTTTTGATTAATTTGATTCACTATGACCAATAATGAACACATTAACAATCGCACATCTATTTCCCCTATCTGTATGTCGAGGTGGAGTATAGATTCTGCTAGCATTCTCTCAACAATAATCAAAAAATAACAAGGGGTAGGCATCTGGAAAAGGTTAAGGCAGGTGCTTGGGATATTCTATTTCCCATATTGGAGTGTGTGAATCCGAGTCCTGGTTCTGCTCCCAACTCCACCTCCCTGCTAATATGTGCACACCAGGCAGCAACAGCAGTGATTCAAGTAATTAAGTCTTTGCCACCCATCTGGACAGCTAGGGATCAGTTTCCAGTGCCTGGCTTTGTCATGGCACAACTCCAGCTCAGTATTTAGGGAGTGAACCAGCAGATGGGATCTGCCAATCTCTGTCTCTTTCTCTCTCTGTCTCTCACTGCCTTTTCTAAATAATAGAATTTTTAAAAGAGAAAAAGATAAAAGCAAAAAAAGAAAATTTTAAGTCCTACCCAATTTCAGCTGCTAAGAATTGTTTATTTTCTTCAAATGGCCAAGAATGCTACTATGGCAATGTGAGAAACTATCAGATGGAAATAACTGTCATTTTTCTTCCAAAAATAAACTCCTTAAATACAATGTGTCAAACAATATAGGTTACCAATAAGAGAGCACAAAGAAAGATTACCCCGAGACCTTTTGGGGCTAGAATATGGCCTTAATGTGCAGTTACAGTTGGGTCAGCAAGTGCACTCTGTAGAGGCCACTGTACTTAATATAACCATCATCTGATTGATGTGACTCTAAAGAAGTCTGTTAAAAGGAAAACTGCATAAAATAAAAGACATGTCAACTTCCTCACACATCCCTGTGCTTAGCTTCTTCATACAGAAGCAGCTGCCAGATTATCTCAAATACCAATAACAGAGGCCCTACAATAGGTAAGTAGGCAATTGAAATGAAATAAACTAAAACATAAACAATGAGTTTGCTCTCCCCAAAAAGGAAAACAAATATTATAGATGTGATTATAAAAAATTACATTGATATAGCAAAACTTCAACTGCCTCTTTATTGCAAAGGTCAGATTAAGAAACAAAAACTATATTTTTCCACTCCTGTATTTAAATGCTCCTGAGTACTTATAAAGACTTTTGTCTTTTATTATATGTATTTGCTCAGTACCTGTCAAAGTGAAACTATAGGGAGCTGTCATCTTGTGCAGTAATTTAAGTCTCACTTGGGACAGTGGTATCCCATATCAAGGCACCTGTAAGAGCCCAAGTGCTCTGCTTCCAATCCTCCTTCCTCTTTCCTGCTAATGTGCTTGCAAGGGCAGTGGAGGACGGCCCAAGTATTTAGAATTCTGCTACCCACGTGGGAGACCCTGATGGAGCTTTTGAATACTGGCCACTTCAGCCACTTGGGGAACGAACAAGAAGATGAAGTTCTTGCTGCTTCTCCTTCTCTCTCCCTGCCACTGTGCTTTTTAAATAAGTCAATTTTAATGCGGTTAAAAATAAAACTTTTTAAACCATTTTTGGATATTAAATATGATTTTAAGTCCCATCAGATTATAAAAATGCATAACTAGCTTTAAAAATACATTTTAAAAGAATGGGTCAAGTGAAAGCATCTTAAACACAGTATATTCGCCTGTCAGAAGAAAACATGACATTCAATTGTTCGTTCTTTCAACAATTATTCTATACCTGCTAACAACCAGGTTCTGAACTATGGATGGAGCTGGACATACAAAAATAAGTTAAGGTACAACTGAGCAGAAAGGAATACAACCCAGTGAAGCACTGAGAACGATCCAGGAGGCTAAGTAA